GCAGTACCTTTTTCTTGATGAAGGCGGCCAGGGGTCCCTTGCCCAGCTCTGAGCTGGACTTCTCTGTCACACTGAGTGATGGTGCCATCATTTGTCCGGCCGTGCGGTCCACATAGATGAAGTGCACCAATCCAGGGAAGTCCTCCAGGTACGTGGGATGGGTTAAGGGTGTCCAACAACTTTGGTGCCCTTCCAGGACAGCCCCTGAGCCTCGGGAAACCACCTTTGTCCACTACATTCCTCCCCTTGATCCCGGTGCCAGGGTCCCACTCCCACGTCTGCTCCCCCCTTAGGGACACCCCGTTGGCAGGTTGGGTCCCCAGCTGCAGGGATGGGTATGACACCATGGTGATATTGCGCCTGCTCTTCACCAGCAGGAAGTCCCGCCAGTCCAGCAGCTTCTCCCTGCCGAGAAGAGGCACAGTGAGAGGCCAGGACCCACAAGCCCCAGCAGAGCTGCGTGTGGGGCAGGCCCTGGCGATGCTGACCATCCCCCTGCACTCACCGCATCAGTTTCTGAGCACGGTCCCGCAGCCCTTGGGACAGGCTGTGGCCAGCAGAGGTCAGGAAGAGCTGGCGGTACACGGAGCAGAGCTGCCGCTTCACGTTGGCCACTGACTGCAGCAGCCTGAGCCAGGGGACACAGACAGCTGAGTTTGGACACGGACCCCAGCACTGCAGGGACAGCTGTGCTGGTCCCCAGGCTGGGAAAGGTCCCTGCCTGTCCTGGAGATTTTGCCTGGGTTCCCCTTACTCACTCTAGGGAGCTCCCAGGCTCACTCCGAGAAAATATCTTGTTCTTAAAGTCCAACCAGGTGTTCTGCAACTAGAAAGAGACAGGACTGTGTCAGGCTGTGGAGAAAACAGGACAGGGTCCTCATGTCCCATGCCCACCTGGATGTCCTGTCCACTCAGCTTCTTCACAAATTTGTCCATGCGCTGCCGCAGCTCAGCGAGGAATGGGTAGGAGCGTGCGACTCCCACCTCTGGTCCCTCTTCCAGCTTCTTCTCCAGCACCAAGAAACCATCCAGCAGTTGGTACAAGGTGATGGCCACCTGGGTCATGGGGCCCTGCCAGGGAAAGGAGAGGTGGGTCAGGCAGGACCCAGTCCCACACAGCTTCCCTCATCTCAGAGGCAGCTCACCTTGGTCAGCAGCACAAGGGAGATGCCTGGCCAGAGCGGGAGGCAGTGCATGGTGTGTGGCAGCAAGGGGCAGTAACCTTCCCGCAGGCTGGCATCCAGAAAGATCCTTCTGGGGTTTGAAGCTTCAGGGACCAGAGGCCCCAAGGTCTGGAGCAAGTCCTCTGCCATCTGGGAAGACAGGGGAGATACTCAGTCCCCTGTGGGGATGAGAGAGCTCGCACAAAGAGTGCTCTGTAAGGATGCAGCATTGCCTTGAAAGCTTCAACCAGGCAAGACAGAACCAAAAGAGCTGGAGGGGCCATGAAGCAAAAGATCAGCAGTGAGGAAAGTGCCCAGGGACCCCAATGGAGCGGCAGAGAAGAAGACTGTTGCAAAGACAAAGGTTGCAAATGCCTTAAACGAAGGGCAGTGTTTGCTTGCGGTGTGTGAGGTGTTGCAGCATCCATCAGGGAAGCAGCCCAGAAAGCCCAATGGCAGCAGAGGGAGACACTGGACTGCTCTGAAGCAGCCCCGCTCCCTCTCTGCAGACAGCTCGTTGTAAGCAATGCCTCAGAGAAGGAGATCAGAGCTGTCACAAATATGCACAACATGGGGGACACGGGGTACCCACAGCTGCAGCACAGCAAGAGAGAGTGATGAGGACCAGAATCTGCGAAAGGCACTGGGGCAGGCTGGTGAGGTGTGGAGCTGGGAGGTGTTGCAGGACTCTGCGCTCACCTGGACGTCTGCAGCATCCACCTCCCCGATGCTCAGCATCTCAGCGCCCTCTGACCAGCTCTCACTGCCTGCAGAGAACATGGCAGGGCACCCTTCCAGCCCCCACCAGAGCCCTGGGGCCTCTGCAGGGCTGGGGGTGTGGGGCACGGCTGCTGCCCAGCTGGGCACTCACCTGTACTGTGCCCGCCTGGCGAGGGCTCGGGTGTGTAGTACACCTCAGGCGCAGAGAGATCATCTGTGTCCTGCCAGCAGAAACGAATGGGTCAGCGATAGCAGCGATACAGGCAGCCCTCCCAGCAATCCCACCCTGCAACTCCTGATCTCAAGGACTCACTTGGTCATCTGAGTCCTTCTCTGCAGCTCCATGGGAGCCAGGGCCACTCACAGGGATGCTCTCACTTCTCTTGGGTCCCTGAGGGAGAACATTCCCTGCTGTGGGCTTTCAAAAAGAGAGAAAAACCCCTAAGCCCCAGCTGTCAAGGCATCACCCCATGATGGGAGCACCCTGCCTTGCTGCACCCCCAGTCCTGCTCTGAAGCACCTGTGGGCCAAGCTCCTCCTCAGCACTCTGGCTGGGGTACAGGTCCTGAACCAGGAGGATGAGGACGAGCAGGTCGGCAGGGCGGATGGAGCTGGCGTTGCGGCTGCAGGCCAGAGAAGGACAAGGTCAGCTGGGAGGACAAATGGCTGCCCTGGGGAGGGTGGTGGGACTGGGCACACCTGGAGTAGAAGGCCAGCAGCTTGGTGTGTACCAGGAGGAAGGCATGGCCCACTTCATCCCCGCCACGCTCAGGGCTGGCGTTGATGTGCTGCACCACTTGTCGCTCCAGGAACTCGATGCACTGCTCACACAGCTGAGGATGGATCAGCCGCTCCACGGCCTGGGGTGCAGGAGGAGGGGAGGCTGCTGAGCTTCCTCAGCCCCAGCCTTGTAGTCCTAGGGGCAGGTCTGAGCTTCCATTGCTCAGGGATCTGCCCTAAAGTCCCCAGCCTACTGCCTTTTCCCACATCCTGGGACTCCATGCAGCCTCCCTCCCTGAAACAGTGAGGGACAGCCCAGATCACTGGTACCTCCACTGCAAAGCTCTGGTCCTCCTCCCGCAGGTGGCTGTAGGTCTCCAGCAGGCCCCGCAGCAGGCTCCACACGCGCTCCCGCTGCTCTGAATCAGCTGGCCGCAACCTGCAGCATCACAGAGGGTAAACAGACAGCTGCCTGTCCCCTCCCTGCGTGACACTGACACACCAAAACCCAGCTCCCTGCATGGGATGTGGACACACCAAAATCCAGCTGCAGCCCAGCAGGCAGGAGGTCCTGCTGCAAAGGGGGGGGTCCCACCCCCCGGGGGGGGTCCCACCCCCCGGTGCTGCATGAAGGCAGCTCAGGGCAGCCCCCCCAGCAACCCGACATGCCACCCTGCGCCGGTGGCTGTGCCTGCTCACTCCTTGCGGATGAGGTGCGAGTCGAGCGTGACGAGGCCACAGTGAGCCTCCACCAAGCGCCGCAGCACGAAGAGCGTCCGGCGCAGGTCGTCCTCGCTCTGCGTCCCGTCGCCGTTCACTGCGATGTACAGGCAGTCCCCGAACTGCAAACGCCAGCGGGGTCAAGCGGGGTCAAGAGGTCCCCGGTCCCCGGTGCCGCTCAGGGGTCCCGGTGCCGATCCTACCATGTGCAGGACGTGGAGTTGCCGCCCGCCCTCGGTGGCGAAGCAGGTATAGGTGTCGGAGAGCTTCTCCAGCAGCGCGGCGCAGGAAATGATCAGGGGGGCGAAGAGAGTGTTGAGGCTGTCCTCCAGCGCCGGGCCCTGTGCCACACTCTCCCGGTCAGCGCCCACGCGCGACCGCGCACCCCGCGCTCCCTTCCCCGCACCCGCGCCGCCCCGTCCCGCCCCACCTGCCCGGCGTGGGACGACCGCAGCCGGCGGAGGAAGGCGGCATCGGCCCAGTAGAAGAGCAGCTCGGCCGCGGTGCTGGCGATCAGGACGCAGCGCATGGCCCGCGGCCGGGGGGAACACGGGCACCGGGGCACCGGGACAGGGCGGCTCCACCGGCACCGGGACCGGGCGGCTCCACCCGCGCCGCGCCGCTTCCTGCTCCGCCGCGCGTGACCGCCGCGCCCACGCGCGCAGCGCCCCCGGCGGCCCGGAGCGGCACCGCACCGTGTGACAGCGGCACCGTGTGACCCTGGCACCGCACCGTGTGACCCCGGCACCGCACCGTGTGACCCTGGCACCGTGTGACAGCGGCACCGTGTGACCCTGGCACCGTGTGACCCCGGCACCGTGTGACCCCGGCACCGCACCGTGTGGCCCCGGCACCGTGTGGCCCCGGCACCGTGTGACCCCGGCACCGCACCGTGTGGCCCCGGCACCGTGTGACCCCGGCACCGTGTGACCCCGGCACCGTGTGACCCTGGCACCGCACCGTGTGACCCCGGCACCGCACCGTGTGACCCCGGCACCGTGTGACAGCGGCACCGTGTGACCCCGGCACCGCACCGTGTGACAGCGGCACCGTGTGACCGCCGCACCGCACCGTGTGACAGCGGCGCCTCACCGTGCGACCGCGGCGCTGCACCGTGTGACAGCGGCACCGCTCCCACCCGCCCGGCCCGGCCCGGTCCGCGGCGGACAGAAGACGCCGGCGAGGTTGAGAGCCCAACTTTATTACACCTCCGGTAGCGCCTGGGCGCGTCGCAGCTGCTCCTGCCTGCGACACCGCCACTCTCCCGGGCAGGACACGCTCTCGGCCCGCCGCTCTGGGATGTATAATTTAATTATCAGCATTTCCGGCCGTGGAGCCCGAGCTCGCCCGCCCGGGGCGGCCCCCGGCGCTCCCTCCCCTGCCCTGCCCCGCCCCGCCCCGCCCCGCCCGGTGCATCCCGCGGCGGGCCAGGCCGGCTGGCGGCATGCCGGCGGCAGCAGAGGGAGCTGCTTCCATGCTCTTGCTGCACCGGAGCACTGCCCGCCTCCGGGGAGGGGGTCCGGCTGCTGCAGCGGTCGTCCCGAGGGGCAGCAGGACCAGGGGGTCGGGGAGGGTGTTCGTCCCGGGATATACCGGGGCTCAGCACCCCAACCTTCCCTGCAGCCAGTGGGCACCAGGGCCCGGGTGCTTCTCGCAGCTCACAGGACGGAGGATGGCAGGCCCTGCAAATTGGCTGTCGCACTGCTCTGGCGGGATGGTGGCCAGGGCACGTGGAGCTCTGCGGTCACAGGGCAGGATGGTCCCAAGGGGGAGGACATCCTGGGGGTGAGGATGAGGGCACGGCGTGGAGCTGCCCAGCACGGCCCCACGGCGAGGCCGCGTGGGCTGCCGAGGAGGCAGCGTGGCCTGGGCAGTGCACAGGGGCAGGAGCGGGGCTGGCGAGTCCCTGCTGGGCCGCAGGCTATCGGTACCGACAGGCCAGCGCGTTCACATTCTTCACCACGTAGAAGCTCATAGTCAGCGGGGGGATGACCAGGGTGCGGCCGGCCCGCAGGGGGCGAGGCTTCAGCTCGGGGAGGGTCCCGTCATCCACCATGGCCAGCGGCTGCCCGTTGAGCTGGACCGACCTGTGGGAGCAGGAGAGGGTCAGCGCAGTGGCACTGAGGCCGCGACAGTGGTGGCAGTCCCAGCCACCAGCATCAAACTTACTTGGAGTGGAGCCCGTCCTTGCCATAGGGCTGCAGCAGGTACTGGTGGACAATCTTATCCCGCAGCGTCCCTGCCAGCTTGATTTTCTTCCGGGAGCGGTGCAGGTTGATGATGTAAAGGGTGATGGATCCCCGGACATAGTTGTGACTGCAAGGGGGAGAGTAGGAGATGAGGGCTGCACTGCCATGTCCTCAGGGAGCATCGCCTCCAAGAAGGGGCTTGGGGGTCTCTGTAAGAACTGGCCTCATGCAGGCATCCAAATTCACTATCCTGCTGCCCCTTCATGAAGCCTAGTTCTGAGGTGACACCTTTCTTCAGCCAGCAGTGACACGGCACAAGAGGCCGCTGCCACGGTGTCCAGAGGGGGGGTGGCCAAGGACAGAGTGTTAGTCCCAGGACGGCCCCCGCCCGCCCCCTCCCCCCAAACCTTGCAAGGAGGAGGCTGAGAACGAAGGGGAGCTCTATGCGTCTGCCCCCGCCACCCCAGGCACCTGACAGACAGGTCCAGACACTGATCCTCTGTCCCTGCCTAATCGGGCAGCCCCAAACAAAGGCTATAAAGCACTTTGCACCTGTCAGTTACTAGACAAGGTTTCCTACCGAGCTGGAGGCATGTTGAAAGCATCTGGACTGTGTAAAGAAACAGTCTCTCCTCCTCTACAATAGCAACTTGTGTCCGCGGAGGAGGTGGCCGCCCCCCCGGCTCGCTGAGGTGCTTTCAAAGACCTTATCAGAGAAACAATAACCAGGCCAGGCTCCCCGGCAGCGCGGCCCGGGTAACCCGAGCGAGCGAGCGGGGCCCCTCGTGTGAAATCCACTCCCTTGATCTCCGCTGCCCGGCCCCACCGGCCCCACCGGCCCCGTTCCCAGGCCCGGGCTCGCCCCGACTTTCATCGGAGGCATCGCCATTCCCGCACTCCCCTTCACTGTGACAGCGGCCAGAGCAGGACCCGAGTGAGCATCCTGGGAAGCCGACCTGCACCAGCGTGTCCTTGTTGCCCCCACCTCCTGTGGGTGCCACCGATCCCACCCTGTGACCCTGAGCCTTCCTCGCTCCGCTCACTTGTGGTAGCTGGTGCAGTGGGCGTAGATCCGGAGCTTGTCGCGGATGACTCTGCCGGGCCGGGGTTTCCTCTGCAGACCGGCCACATGGATCGCCAGCACCTTGGGACCAATGAGGCGCTTGTAAAGCAGGGACAGCCAGTAGTCCTGGGGGGCAGAGGGGACAGTCAGCAGCACAACAGCCCCCCCTACTCACAGAGGGCCTGAGCAGGAAAGGCTGGCTCCCCTGCTTGCAGCCTGGCAAAATTTTGGCGGTTAGGGGTGAAAATGTTGTGTGCCAGATGTCTGCATTGGGATGAGCTCTTTTTGTGCACTCCAAGCCATAATGGCATGGATGTTTCCAGGAAAGAGATTCAGGGAGGAATTCATTGTCCATGCTGAGAGACACGGGTACCCTCTAAAGGAGCTCAGATCATGGCTGGGTTGCAGAGCATGGGGAGCAGCATGAGCACCCTTGCATGTACCCATGGACCAACACACAGCCGTGCTGTGGACCTGCACACCAGCTCCAGCTGATGCTCACAGGCTGGTGATGTCTCTGGAGCAGGCTCTTCCCCCATTCTCTACACAGAGCTGGAGCACATCAGAACTCTCCCCTGCTCTTTCTCTCTATTTGTGGCACACTGCCTTTTGGGACTGCTGAGGGTGCTCAGCTTCCCAGAGGTATTTCTCCCATTTTAAAGCCTCCTGTGGAGCATGGGGAAGCTCAAGAGAGAGGAAATGCTTAGACCCTACACACATGCATAAGTGATGCAGCCTTAATTACGTCACCACACACTGCTTTTTCCCGCAGGGCACGGCCTCGCACGGCACACAGGATGGGCCCCAGGCCCCGGGGAGGGAGCTGAGGCTGTGTGGGCCCCCCTCTCATCCGCTGCAGGAGCTGGGAGGTGTGTGGTAAATGAAGCAGGGTTGTGGGAAGGGAAAGGGCAGGCTCAGACCCTCGCCTGCTGTTCTGCAGGATGGGGCTCTGGCCCCGCTGCTGCTCCAGGCACGGCAGGTGATGCTGGGAAGATGGAGCCTCTGGCCCAGCTAAGGATACACAGCAGGTGCCATGAGATGGGTAAGACAGTCAGCAGTGATTTAGGGTGAGTGTGCAGTATTTCAGCACAGTCAGTGCCTCCAGGGCAGTGCAGGAACCACTGTGTCCCTCCAACATCTGCAGGAGGTGAGGGGAGAGCAGTGCTTTTAGCTCGCCTTGCTGGCAAAGCTAGCTCTAAAGTCTCAGTTTCAAGAAGGATGTGAAAGTACCAGAGAGAGTTCAAAGGAGGGCCAGAAAAATGACCCAGAGTTGAAAAAGGAGTCGTCAGCACTGGCCTCAAGGCACTTGAGCTCTTCAGCTCACTGCAGGGAAGCACTGAGGACAGCTGCAGCTTTTCGCATCATCACAAATCCGCTTGTGTGAGGGGCCCAAATCGTGTTATTTGCAATAAATTACCAGGGCCTGGTGACACCAAGCACTTGGATGATGAATTACACACACACACCTAGCATGACTGAAACAAACCTGCTGAGGGCAGACACTCCCTAGCTGGGCTGGTGCTCCAGGGCTGCTCCTTCCACTGGCATGAGTGAAGCCCAGCCAAAACCATGCCAGGGCTGCTGGGCTCCTGCAGCTACCAGCTCCTGTTCAAGTGGGACCAGCTTGGGAAATAATTGCTCATGAAACCCAGCTGCAACCAGGGGGGCTTTTCCACTGACCAGTGACCTCTTCCTCAGCCCTGACAGCTGCTTGCACCCTGTGCAAGCAAGTTCCCCAGGCTGACAGTGCCCACATACCCCTTGCAAAGACGTGCAGTGTGGTGCTGGACATCCTGTCAGGGGCAGCCTCAGCCAGGCCCATGGAGACAGGTTGCTCCAACCAGTGCAACTGCAGAAAGGATTTGTCTTTTGGAGTCACAGAAGACTCTAGTTGTGAGGGCTGAGCAATACAGCTGTAGCAGTTGAGGAGGGATAGCAGGGAGGAATCTGGTTTGTTATTAGTCCCATGAGAATCGAGGGATCTTTCTTGGTTTAAATACTTTGCAGAGCCATCAAGCAGTAGTGCAGGTGAGGAGCACCTGAAGGCAGAGCCTTCCTGTGCCTCAGGTGGTCTCCTGTCTGGGAGCCCTGATTTGTGGGCAGGAGGGGAGCTTGTGTTGAGTGAGCTGATGTGCAGAGCTCAGGGAGCCTCACCTTCTGAGCCCCATGGGGCCAGTGAAGACATACAAGCTTTCCACTAGAGAGGGAAGGCCCAGAGGGTCCTACTTGATCTCTTGGCACAGTTTACTTCATTACAGAAGTTTTAGAGACTTCAGCTTTTGGAAACAAGGTTGATTAGGCAGGCCCTGGGGCAAAGCTGTTTGCCAGACCCTCCTGTCTGCAGAGCCATCAGGAGAAGGGCAGGAGTTATCCCCACGCTCTCTCCTAGAGGCAGCAAAGCAGCTCTGCTGCCCACCTGAATTTGTTCAGCTCTGTGCTCTCCACGTGTGAGAAGTTTCCATAACCAGAAAATCAGAGTAAAAGAGCCATAGCTCTTCAGTCTCCTGGGAACTGTAACCAACAAAGGCAGCTGAATTTCAAACGAGTAGGCTGTGAGCCTGTGGTGCACAACCTCCTCTGGCTGGGGCTGCCAGGGCATGGCTTTCTGTTCCCAAGTCACCAGCAGCATCAGCTGGCTGCTGCTCACCCTATTCCACTTTTCATTGCTTCTTCCTGCTTCTGAAGCTGCCCAAGTTCTTCCCATGTGCTTTATGTGCACTCGAGTTTCAGCAGCCAGTTACAGAGAGCTCCAGTGCTGCACCTTCATCTGCATTTTTCCACAGTCCGAGCAACCTGTGTGGAGATAAGGGCTGGCTGGTCTGAACACCACAGGACAGAGGGCTTTGCTCTTTTATCCCTTTGTTGAACCTGATGGCTTCTTTTTGACAAAAGCATCCTACAGAAAAGTAGTGATTGTGGTTGTGAAGATCTGGAGGGATGGAGAAGCTGCCACTTCCCAGGGAGCCTGTTCCAGCAGTTACATATCCATACTGTTAACAGTCCCACTCCTTATTTTTGTCCTGAATTTGTCTGGCTTCAGCTTCCAACCAGTGGTTCTTGTTCTTGCTTTTTCCACAAGATTAAAGAGATTCTCAGCATCCAAAGCTTTCTCCCCATGGAGGTCCTTACATCCTGTTCAAGCCATAGCTGCTTGTTCTTCCAGCAAGGCTGGATAATGCTGCTTTTAACATTATCCCTGAGTTTTATGTGCTTCTTAAGTGGGAGTTCAAGGTTTTCTCAGCCAAACCCTTTGCAAGGTCCTGTGACAAGCAGAGTGGGGCAGGGCCTCATCCCGAAGGGAACAACATTTTCTGAAGTCAAAATCGCCAGCTTCAGACACTAATGCTGCCTTCATGAGCTCTCATGCCCCCACCCTCAGGGACATTATCTGTTTGCTGTTTTGTGTGTGCACCTCTTTGTGTGGAGGTTGTGAAGAACTGAGCAGTCCCTATAACATTTGCTGCTGTATTGGGGAGTCTGTGAGTGAGCACCACAGGGGACAGTCTATGAATGGGGAACAAGGCTCCTTCTAGCCCCAAACAAGGGAGCTTCAAGTGGACTGACCTGCCAGAGGCACCAGCAGGGGAGGAGGAGGCAGCACACAGAGATGCTGCAGCCAAGGGGCCCCTTGCCTCTTCCCTCTGCTCTGCCCTGCTGGGCAGGACAGACCTTTGATCCAGACACCACCGCCCATGAAAGGTCAGCTGATGCTGACCAATCCCTCTTTTGCTGAGGCCACATCCCAGCAGTGCCTCACCACCAGTCCTCTGAAGCTGCTGACGTCTCTGCCTGGGCATCTGTTGCTTTCTCTGTGCTGATCCTCTTCCTTCCTGCTCTAACGGCTGCAAACACTTCATCTCACACCACTCTTTCCTGCATTGCCTTATGCCCTTATGTCTTCCTGCAGCTTCCTCCTCAGGCAAGTGGTCTGCAGCAAAATTCCAACAGTGGGAGTGGCAGCCACAGGAATTGCTGCCAGGCATCAGTGGCACTGAGGGGACAGCCTGCCCAGGAAACAGGAGAGTGCTGGTAGGACGTGACCCCTGCCTACTGCCCAGCACAGCCTGCCTCCAGCCAGTGGCCTCCCCACCTTCTTGGGATCTGAGCAGATGGAGGAACAGCCAAATCTCTCTTTTGTCATCACCTCTCCCTAACAGGGTCCAGGCGATGCAGGCTACCGGAAGGGAGCAGAGTTGCCAGATCAGAGGGCTTGGAAACCAAATGCAATTCTTCTGTTTCCTGTTCTTCCAGAGCACCAATCCACTCTGGGAATGGTCTTTCTGCCCCATCTCATCCACAGCCCTGGGTTGGCTCTGTGACCAAGCTGGGCAGGTTTAGCACTAGCATGGTGCCTCTGGAGATGTGAGCCACGGCTGTGTCCATCCTTCCAAGACCAAGCTGCTGCTGCCTGTCCCAGATGCATTTTGTTTCTGCCCCAGACTCCTGTGCAGGAGGAACAGTCCAGCTCCAGCTCTGCACATGTCTTGCAGCTCCAGTGGGTGGGTGCCAGAGCTGCTAGCAGGGCTTTGATCCATTTAAGGGTCCACGCATATGCACTTCAGAGTGCACCAAGAGGGAAAGGCCCCTTAACCCACCGTGACAGCAAGCAGAGTTTAGCTGCTTTAAATCTGTCTCCTCATTCACGGATACAACGATCCTCAGAGACAGCCTGGAACTCCTGGAAGGAGAAAGGGTGCAGAAAGCAGACAATGCCTCAGTCCCTGAGACATGATAGAAAGGACAGGCAGTGGATTGGATGCTCTGCTCAAACCTGCTCCAGGCAGTTGTGCCAAGGCTCTCTGGAAGACTTCCACAGGGCACCATTTCCACTCTGCCCTTCAGCAGACCATGCTTTAGCTTGACATCTCATGGTAGAGCTTTTCCCCTGTGCACACCTGAACTGCCCGGGACTTCACCCCTCCCATCAGTGGCCAGAGCAAACATCCTCTAACAACAGTTCCTGCCAACCCTTGCCCCTCTCACCCCTTCCCTGTCTGCAGGCATCACTCCCACCAGAGTCAGTGCTCTAGCGTGCAGGGCAGATGGGGGTGCCAGACGCCCGCGCACAGATTTACAGTCCTCAGGAACAGCTTCCATGTGTGTGTGCAAGCTCCATTGAACCTGCTCCCTCTCCCCACCCTTTGTCACTCCCAGACTTGGGCCCGTGCCTCTGCCTGCATGGCACACGGTCCCAGACAGTGACCCGGAGCCGAGGGTCCCTGCGGGGAGCAGCGGCCGTGCTCCTGCCCCGGTGCTCGGCTCCGCGTGTGTGCAGCGCGGCGACACTGAGAGATGTGCAGAGGAGCGGGTGCAGCAGCAGGGCTGAACCCCGCTGGTGCCGGGATGGGCATGGGCACAGCTGGGCGAGGACCCGGCCCCCGCAGCCCTGGCCAGGGGAGCGCAGGGGCGGGAGAGGGACAGACCGGGGGACGGCTGGGACCTTCCGCTGCAATTAGCGGCGCCTCCTGCCAAAGCAGCTCCGCTAATGAGCGCACCGGGGAGCGAGTACGTGCAGCAGGCGGAGCACGGCCGGGGACCCGCTCCTGCTCCTGGCACCTCACCGAGGGCCCCTTGCCTCCTTGGGCCCGGAAACTGGGGGGGCCCAACCCATCCCCTAATGCGGAGGTGCTCGGGACAGGTCAGACAGGCCTGATATGAGCCCAGGGTCCTTCCTCCTCCAGGACAGAGTCATGTTCTTTCCCATTGAGTTCTCCTCAGTGCCTTTGGGCAAAGCCAAGGAGGTGAAAAATCACCAGCAGCATCCAAGCATCTGATCACAGCACCATTGGGCACAGCCCTTCGCACTGCTGTGATGCTTTCTCAAGGACACCATCAATTCACAGGCAATATCATATTGTCTTCTACCACCACAGCTGAGCAGGCAGCCCCTGCTGTCCATTCACCCTTGATCCCTCTGGGACTTTCTCATCCTGCATATGAATCTTATATGCAGAAAAGAACTTTAAGTGTCTACTGAACTCAGTATCTCCCTGCCCAGAGTCATTAGAGGAAGGTCCATGAGGAGCCACAGGAAATGGAAGTCTGGTTTCCAGCTTTGGCTTTTCCATGGGGTTTGTGTTCCTCAAGTCCTGCCTAGAAATATGCCCAAGTTTTTTCTCTGCATAGATATAACCTTACAGCATTGTACATTAAAGGAGCAGAAATCAATACCAAGGATGGATAAAAAAGAGGTGAGTACCACGTGGAAGAGCACTGAAAAACGTCTTTAACATTCTGTAAGAATCTGAAGAGAAATCTCATGTCTGCCTGGGGTGAAATAAATGTATTGCTTCCCTCTGGACTGTTTCAGAGAGATATTAAGGAAAGAGAGATAGAGTATGTACGTTGCATGCCTGAAATGATCCTAGAGGTACTGTATGCTGGATCAGCATTTCAAAGGCACTGCCCTGTGACGAGCAAATATTAGTGCTGCTCCTGCCCTCCTTCCCTGCACTCCTTACTCCCACACATGTACAGGTTTAAGTGCAGGCAGGCAGACTGATGTACCTGCATAAGGCTTTATTTGGAGGGCTTCTCTGACTATTATACAGCTGACTGCTCCAATCACTCAACAAGAAAAAGCACTCCAACCATACATGAAAATGTTATCTCAAAAATAACAAGGCAGTAAAACACTTGAGCTCAGAGGGAGAGTGGACAGGCAATTCTGGCAACCCGAATGGGCACTCAAGCTGCCCTTCCATGGGTGAAGGACCTGGAGGGGCACACAAGGACCACGTCTCTTGCAAGATGTCCCAAAAGGCACAAGATGTCGCTTAGCTCATGAGTCAGCTGAGTACGGGAAGCCCAGCAGAGATGTGAGCATCTTCCTAATTTCACTGCAAAGCTTCGGTGCCTGTTGCCACTGAGACCATTCTCTTATTGGACAAGCAGCAGGGGCAGGGAGGAGAAGGAGGTGCAAAGGCGGCTCTGGGGAGCCCGGGCCTGGCTCCCAGCTCCCTGAGGAGCTGCCAGCCGGAGCTGTGATTGATGCCGTGGCGGTGCAGCCCTTCTCTCAGCAGGCAGCTGAGAGCTGCCTCACGCCCAGCCGGCTTGCGGAAACCTCTTTGTCATGGCAGCTAATGAGCAGATTGTATTTCACAGCGCCGGCCCCGCACAGGTACAGCCAGCGGCTTTTATCTCCTGACAGCTCCCACGGGAAAAGAGCAGCCGCCGTCCCGCAGAGCGGGTCACCGCCCGGTCTTGCCGGGCTTTACGGTGCTTGCAGCTTTTTAAAACCCTTTGTCGGTTTTCACCTGTCCGTGGCTCTTCTATAGCGCAGGAGTGGAGGGAAAGAGGTTGTGGAAGCACCTGCCTGAGTTTGTGCAGGAGCACAGTGGTGGGATGTGGGATCGGCGCTGAAGAACATGGGAGAGTGAGGAAACAATCATGACAGCAATTGGCACCTCACTTACTGGGAGACTTATCTTTAAAACAACAGCAAAATCCAAGTTAAAGACTTCCATTGTGTTTATCAGCCTGGGGTTTATTCCTCTAACTCCTTCCCTGGCTCCAATCCCGTTCTGAACTGCATTCCTTCTCCAGCTGATATCTGGGGCTGCTGCCCTGCTGTGCCAGCAGAGCTGGCCGTGGGCACCCTGTGCCCCCTGTGCCAGCAGAGCTGGCCATGGGCACCCTCTGCCCCCTGTGCCAGGAGAGCTGGCCATGGGCACCCTCTGCCCTGCTGTGCCAGGAGAGCTGGCCATGGGCACCCTCTGCCCCCCTGTGCCAGCAGAGCTGGCCATGGGCACCCTCTGCCCTGCTGTGCCAGGAGAGCTGGCCATGGGCACCCTCTGCCCCCTGTGCCAGGAGAGCTGGCCATGGGCACCCTCTGCCCCCTGTGCCAGGAGAGCTGGCCATGGGCACCCTGTGCCCCCTGTGCCAGGAGAGCTGGCCACACCCTTGTGCACTCAGCAGGCAGGAGCTGGCCCGCACCCATCCAGCCAGGAGCAATCTGGGGTCCTGAAGCCCTGGGAAAGGGGGTGATGTGGCTTGGTCAGGGAAATCCAGGCTCTTCAGGAGAAATCCATTGAGCTGTAAGCTCAGGTTCATCTCAGACAAAGCTCAAAGCCCCCTAGGCTGGGCCCCCAGAGGTGGCAGGTGAGCTTGCTGGAAGGCTGCATGTGGGAACACACCAAGGTGCCCCAGGAGATACCCAGAGCAGCACAGGCAGGAGGCCATGCTCTCCTGCTCACTGGTTTGCTCTCTGGAGCCAGCCTGATGCTCAGGGATGCTGTTTTCATTGCCTGAGCAGGCAGAGCTGGCTGAGATGCAGCTCCCTCAGACTTTGCTCCCCTGCAGCCACCCCTGAGAGCCCAGCACAGCATCAAGGGCAGGCTCACAGTGTCAGGTTGTGCACATCTCCAACAGGGAATCCCAGCCTGCTGGCAGTGTCTGCTGGGTCATGGACCAATAAATCCCTTCTAGCAGAGATGCAGAGCACTCAGCTGCTCTGCCAGGCTCTCTGCTTGCAAGGCAGTATATTTACTAACCCCCAGAGGAAAAGGAAACCTGCTACTTTTAACAGGTTCTTTCATATGGTTTCCTTATCAGCACCATGTGTTCTGGGAGTTCCCTCTGCCCAGGTGTTGCTGAGGAGTGAGGGATGTTGTGGGGCACTGATGAGATCACTACTCACTGTGAAGCTTTCGCCTTGGTTTCTAGAAATCTGAAATCAGGTGCTGAAGCTCCAGCCTGGCTTCCCTTGGGCCAGCACCCCATCCACCCCTCCAACTCTCCAGCCTGCCCTGGTACCCCTCAGTGGTACCAGCCTCTCTCCTGTGCCACAACTCTGGGGCATCAGACGAAATTTCAGCTACAGAGGTGTCGCTGTCCCATCTGCCTCCAACATGTCACACTCGACATGAACCAACATCTCCTATTAACACTGTCAGGAACAGATCTGGAAAATTCATTTCCCAGCAGAGTTCAGAGAGGCCACAAGGAGAGAATCCCCCCAAACGTGCAGGGAGAAGCCAGCAGCAGCCTGACATCCCTGGGCAGACCTACCGGCAAGGGGTTGAAGTTCTGGTCCACCAGGTGGTTGTGGCCGTGGTCGAGGAAGGAATGGCGCACCACCACGTCAATGCCCTGGCTGGCCAGCAGGCCCAGCGTGTTCAGCCACCTGGGGACAGAGGGAACAGAGCCAGGGCACCATGGAGGGGCAGGGGCACCACGGGGGAACACTCGGGGGGACTGCCTGGTCCCAGTGGCACAGCTGCTCTCATGCATACGACCTGGTCCCTGCTCCAGCACCTGAGCTGAAGCCTCCTGATGGTTTTATGAACTGGCTCCCACTATCCCTGTCCTAGCAAGTCTGCATGTCTCTTCCCCTGCCCCAGCTGTGCACAGCTTGCACGTCCCAAACCTGTGCCTGAGCCCTTGTGTGCACCCCAATATCTCAGCCCTCTGCCCATAGGTGCTCCCCCAGCCTGCCAGCACTCTGCTCCCTCTGTCTGAGCAGGGTAGAGCAGACCTTTGCACTGGCCTGTCTTCTCACATTCCCTGGGCAAGATCTTCAATTCTCACAGCCTGCTACAGCCCTGATAGCCCAGGCATGTCCCTGTGCTTCCCTGCAAAGCTAAGATAATCTTCCTCCATCTTTCATGATCACAGCCACCTCTGAAGATCTGAACTGGGGCTTTGCAGCAGGATGTCCAGGCCATGGGGCTGTGCCAGTGGACAAGCCCCAGGAGCCAGGAATGGTTGTAGCTTCAAAGGAGAGAAAATGGGAAGCAGAGCTGAGGAGGGGTACTAGGTACGAAATGGAGAAATTAACAACACTCAGGCTGCCAGGGAGTACTGAAGGGGTCTCTGGGCCTGGAGTTTGCCCTCTTCCAGCTGCAGTGCCTTTGCAGCACCTCAGCCTGCAGAGCCCACGGGGGGCAGTGCCCTGGGGGTGCCAAGCCAGTGTCACTCACAGGAACCCGGCTGCGTATGAGTCGGAGAGGTTGTTCATGCCTCCAGCTGAGGTCATGCCAACACCTTCCAGCCAGATCTTCTTCCCTGGTGTGTACGTGTTCACTACCTGCAAGAGAGACAAAAGCAACCAAAATTACTCTGGTGCACCTGTGATTTAAAGCCAAGGCAGACATCTCCTGTCTCATGGAAGACTTGTGCAGACCTTTGGTGATGGTGCTGGTAGACAGTCAGTGCCTGGCCATGGTGTGTCCCTCTGTGTCCTTACCTTGGCTGGGTGGGGGGACACTATTCCTCACCCTTTCCTTCCATTGCCAACACGTCCACTTGCATCTTCTGGAGCTGCTCCCAAACATACTCTCATGTTTCCAGTCCCAGATCCTGCTCTTCCCCTGTGGTGTTCCCATGCACTCTGTCCCACACACTGCCCTCTCATGTCACCTTAGCTCGCCATACCCCGGTCAAGGTGGCTGCCAGCCATGGGTAGCCCCCGAGCCCCAATGGGACAGTCAGTCCCACAGCTGAGCAGGGGCTGCTTGGCCACCTGAGGGGTCCATGGCACAGGTGGGACATGCAGGTCTGAGCATGCTGCCCACCCCTCAGCAGCCTTCAGCCAGTAGTGCAGACACCTGTGGGATCTCAGCTGGCCAGAGCTGCCCCCTCCCAGCCCGAGCAACCTTCGGCACCACACCCTGTCCCTTCTCCTGCAGTCCCACTTCTCCAGGCTGGGTGACAAGCTCCCAAGACCAGATGTCTGCAAACCCAGGAATGCTCTGAGCAGCCTGATGGATCCTGCCCCATTAGTGAGGAGCGCTGGAATGTGCTGGATGGACTGGGATCCCTCAAAGATGTTAAATAGGCCAGCTCTGGGCTGCCTCCCACTCACAGCCTGTGAGAGCCGACAGCCCTGCCTGAAGCCCCAGAGGTGTTGGCATCCTGCCTGTAATTATCTAAGCCCGCCACCTTCCCGGCCGGAGAGGAAGCAATAAAACAGGCAAGTGGACAAGTCCAGCTGCTCTAATCAGCCCCGGCAGGATGCAGGGACTCAGAGCCAAGCTGGAGGCCATTAGCACCCAGTGCTGTGCTTTTGCTCAGCCACACTGGCATTCCCAGGAGAGCCTTCCCCAGCCCTACCCCGTGCACACCAAATTCTGGCCCATGGGTGTGAGGGTTCCCCTAAACTGCACCAAGGGCAGCTCCTGGCCGCTTCTGGTCTGGGAGTGGATGGAGTCCAACTCCATTCCCAGCAGGTTCCAACCTGCAGCAGAGGTGGGATACATGTCACCACTTTTGGCAGGGCATTGTACCTGTGAGGGCTGGGTCAGCTGGTGCCTCTCGCTTGCCCCACTGTGATTCCATTGTGCCATGCCTCCCCCACAGCAGGAGTATCATCCACACACAGGGATGACTCCCAGCTTGTGCCAGAGGGTTCAGCAAGGAGCTTCTCTCCTCCAGCTTTGCTGCACTGACCCTCTCATCCCCTTTCCCAGGGCCTCTTTGAGTTGTTTACTCATTCTATGGTTTCCCCCTGCAGGAATTGCAAGTGAGACATTGTGGTGAGTGGTAAGATTTGAAAACCTAGACAAGACAGATGGACGGACATCTCCTCTGGTCCCTAAGGCCTTTTTCACTCACTAGGTGTTCCTTATTTCTTCCAGGACTGACAGCTGAGTGTGTCAGTCTCAGCCCTGGCCCCTCTATCAGCCAAGCAGGGGAACCCTGCCGAGCCCCTGCCATGTATCCCATTGGTAGAGATGTGAGCTGGGTCCCCTGGACAGGGAGGAAAGGAGCACTCATGAGCCAGCCATGGACTCTGACACCACAGGCCAGCAACAGCTGGGTTTTTTGTCACAGTCAAAGCATGATTATCAGGGAAAAAGGACACTAGTTCATAATGGTCACAATTCTCCACCAGTGAGAATCACTCTGGGAATGCAACTGCCACTACTTTGCAAGCAACATTTCCAGGCACACTGTGAGCAAGTGGGGCAAGATGTGGTGGTAGGAGCCCCTCCTGAGCACACATAGCACTGGCTATGGGAGGTTTGGTACCACCTGGCTGCTCTCTCCTCTCCTTCTTCTGGGGAGCAGGCTCAGTTTCACCCTCATTACATGCTGCTGCCTTCAAGGACAGACAGATGGGAGCCTCAGGCCAGTAGCTGCCTTAGCAGGGCCTTGCATTGCATGGTGTTTTCTGCTGCCCTGTGTCCTAGCACACCTGCACAACCCATGCTGTGCTGCAGCCTGTGGCCATTTCCCTCACAACCCAGCACACACCCCACCCTGGGGCCAGGCTTTGTGCTGCCTGGTGTCTCAGCCCTGCCCTGAACAGGCCTGGCTGCACTTTCCCCGGGAGCACAGGGCCCACTCTCCCTCCCTGCCCAGCCCAGCTGCCTTGGGAGCTGTGGGTGCTGAGCCCTGGCCATGAGCTGTGCCCCAGCCAGGCGCTGCAGCCACGGTGTCCCCTCAGCCCTGCAGACCCTCTGCACCTGCTCACCTTCTGGATTTTCCTGATCTGGTCTGACAGTGTGTCTAACAGCCGTGTTTTCAGGAAGTCTGTCACCTTGGCCACTCGACCATCAATGTAGTAACTGGAAGGGAAATAAGAAGACAAGCTCAGAAGCTGGAAGTGTCTCTGTCCCCAGTCCACGTCCTCCTGTCCTGCTGCTGCCCCATACCAAGATGTTCCTTTGCTCTGGGGAATCCCCGCTTGCACCCTGTCCTGTCCTAGCCCTCTGGCCATGCCTGTCTGGCAGATGCTCAGTCTGGCAGATTTCAGTCTCCAAAACAGGATGTAAGGTGGACACACCCTAAACACTGAGCATCCTGCACTTCAGGAGCCATGGGAAGTTTTGCAATTTCTTAACTTTTGCTGGTGAAACTCTGGGGGTAGTATTCTAAAGGCTGGGAGCAAAATGCCACCTGCAAAGGCTTTGCAGCCCTCTTGCACAACCTACACCTTCCTTGCTTGCTCTTCCAGAAAAATCCTCAGCTGAATCCCCCTGACAAGAGAGTTGTGGCTGTTACCAGCAGAGGAAGTCCTGCTCTCACAGAAATACCTTCTGGCCTAGGAATGCCAGGGAGTGTTTCCCATACAGGGGGCTGATTCCTGCTCTCCATGTGCTTGATTTTATGAAGTACAGCTACAGTGCTGCCCATAACATTGTGAATCATCTGTCTCTAAGTGTGAGAGGAAAGCTCTGAAATGTCTCACTGCTGTTTGCTGGCTCCAGGACATAAGGTGAAGCATTCTGTCCTGACTGCACATACCCTGTGTCAAGAGGGAATCCCAGCCTGCTCCTCCTGAGGGAGAGCCTTGGGCTGTCACCTCTCCTCCATGCAAAGAGAAATGGCAGCCCTTGTACATCTCCCAGAGGCTCCTGCCAGTCTTGCAGGGAACAGGATGCCTGCTGCAGCATGCACTGGCATACCCCTGGGCCAGCCCTTTTTCTGATAAATAGGTTTCGAAGAGAAACTTTATGAACCTTCTCCTCCCAAATCTGCATTGTGTATCAGCCACTCACCCCAGCAAGCCCCAGAGAATGTCAGAGCCACATTGGGGGGATGGAGGTTCCCAGGAACAGCAGCAGCTCTGGCTGGGGCTGGTGGGGCTGAGTCATTGCCTCTGATCCCTCACTGGATCTACATGCACTCGGATTTCACCAGAGTTGCACAGAGCCCTCTCCCTCCCTGCAGACCTCGGTGCAGCTGTGGGTGCTGGGATGCACAATAGCTAAAGACCTGGGCTCTGAGGAAAGGTGGATTCACCTTTCCAGGGCTGCTTTCTCCCTGACATGCATCTCATCTGCACCAGTGAGCACCTACAGCAGTTGTAGTGGCTGATTCCCTTGGGTGCCGGAATGCAGGAGCATCCCCAAAGGATGCCGTGGGCTAACTCAGCCTCAGACAGAGCACCTGGCACATGTGCAACATGCATGAGTGCTTGGAGAGGATTTTGTGTCTCACTGCTCCAAGTCCCTAACTGTCCCAGAGCAGAATTCTATTACTTGCAAATGCATTCAACGAGAAGAACCTCCTGTGTCAGCCCCCCCGAGGCGTGCAGTCCCAGCTGTGTCCCCAGCCAAGCACGGGAACGTGCCAGGCACCCCAACATTGTGTGACTGGGTAAGGAGGCACGAGGCATTTCTGCACACCCATGGTGACTGGAAGGTGCTAAGGGCAAAGATAATCTCCAGGGAGAGTTTAGGAAGTGTTCAAAATCACTCAGATCACTTACACACTATCCAACCACTGGCTGCTGGGAGGAGAGCTGATCTGTGAGCAGCAGGCAGTGGTGGGGTTTACACAGATTACTTTTTAAGACAAAATTACAAAGCAGTGTTCTCTGGGGATGGCAGATGTTTGGAGTTTAGCACTGCACTTAAAAACTGAGCAGAAATGACTTTTTCAGACTGCTGTGGACTAAAAACCCCATCACCTAGGCTGAAAACCGGCTGAAAGACATAAAAAAAGGTTGTATTCACAGGGAAAAGATGGAGTTAGATAGACCTCAGTCTGTGTATGACCCCTCCAATGCATCAGGCTTTCTGCAGGGTCTGGCTTCTTGGCCAGTATGGTCCCAGAGCCCAGGATGAACCCCTTGGAGAGCAAAGACAAGCTTGCACCTCCTCATCACCTCATCCAAGCAGAGGTGTGCTCTGACATGCAGCTCCCCTGCCAGAGCAGCAGCAGAGCCAGAGGAGGCTCTGTCCCCCAGAAATCACCTGGGGAGGTGCTGATGCACCCAGCACAGCCCAGACCCTACAGGGAAGAGAAATGCTCTGGAATATGTGCCATGGTGACTTTTTTTTTTTGACACCTTCATTACCAGCCCAAAGAAACAGACACTGGTAGAGGCACAAAGGACAGAAATAAAGTATCAGTATTCCCGCCTCGGTATCAAGAAATCTTGGAAGCATATTTCCTGGCAGCATGAGGAGGGGAACACTTCAGCTTTGGATGTGTAAACAGAGCATGATGACAATTACAGGCTTCAATAAAACGGGCAAGGACCTCTAGCAAATCTGCCTGGGAAGTCCTCAGTTGCCAACAGGTAGTTTCATCCTCCTCAGACTAGGAAAAAGGGAAAATGGCTCCAGTGTCACAAGGCTTGTGACGAAGAGAGAGGAACTGAGGTCTGTGCTGATACCTGGCTACTCAGGAATGGGTTGCCAGCTGTAGTGTTCATCTCATTGAGTTAAGGCACTTCCTTTTGGTAACTTTAACTGTCAGTATAGGCAGTATAGAAATCCACAAAATGCAAACAACTGTCAGGCCTTTAAAGCAAGAGAAGAGCTCATTAGGCGTGGATTATTCCTTGGAGTAAAGGCTGCAGCTTTGCTGATATTTACAATGACTCAGTGCACTTGACTTTAAAAAAAACAAACAAAACCAACAACCTAAAACAGTCACAACTCTTCAACCTCCAAAAAAGCCAGCAGCAGCTGCAGAGAAATCCAGCACTGACAAATACCTCCCCAGGCCAGCCCTGGGGTCCATGGCACTCTCATCCTGCTCTCCTAAGTCCAGCAAGGAGATGAATGGACAGCCCCTCCCCAGCACGGGCAGGGGTCTCTGTCAGCCACGACTCTGCAGAGGCAGAGCACACCCAGCTCTTGGACAAGCTGTTTGTGTCCAGCACAGGCTGACAGTTCTTTCAGTGGGCTCTGGGAACAGCACAGCAACAGCAGTGGCCCTGAAGCCTGGGAGACATCAGCATGCACACCATGAGCACTGACCATGCTGCTTCTCATAATTCAGGAGAGAATAGATATGGCCAATTACATACAGAGCTGGGCCATCGTGTCCCCCTGTTTGATGCCACTATCACTATGAACAGGCAGTCTGCAAGAAGATGAGAAGAGTCAGCCAAGAAAAAGATGGATCTAGCTACTAAATCCCAGATGAGACATACATCTTGAAGGAAAGGCCATGTACCTGTACTTTTGGGTGTCCTATTATACTCTGGATGCCTATTATACAAAGCTAAGACAAATTCTCCCCCCTCTGCTTACATTGCCCCATTTCTAAAACTGTCATTTGACTGTGCCATGGAAAGCCAGGATGAGATCACACACTTTGCAAAGGGAGGTGTGACTGGGCCACTCTGGGATGGCCAAACCAGAGTGTGGTGCAGGGGAAGGACTCAGCCAAGGGCTGGGCAAGAATTTACGCCAGTGCTAGGAAATGAACCACCCCAATTCCTGGCCTCCATCCTTTGATGGATCTGTAGCATGGCACAAAGATGAGCTGAGAGCAGTAGTGAGGCAGGGCTGAACACAGCTGCCAGTCAGAAATGCCCTTGTTCTTGAGCAGGCTGCCAGGCCAGGCTGCACACAGCTCCCCACTGCCTCCCAGAGAGGGACAGTGCCAGGCACCAGAGCACTTGGGCAATTCAGGGGCTGGCTACATGTCTCTGTCCTCTCACCTCCAGCTCTGGCGTTGCATTTAAAACTGTGTTCTGGCAAGATCCATGATCGGCTGCATGGGACCATAAGCATTGTACCATGTTTAATGAAGGCAGTGCACTGACTCCTGGGCAGCTGGTTTCATTTACATCTTCCTTCATTTTAAAGAGAAACCTTTGCCCCTATTATCTGACCTCTTCTTCTGTTGCAGTTAATTACATTAAAGCCCACTTCCCAAAGCTCAGGAATTTCCGGATCTACTTTGTTGCCTGCGCTGCAGGGAGAGTCTGCTTGGAATTAGGGACCTGCCTGCCAGGACACCGAGCAGGGCAGATCCTCACAGCCAGCACGACACCCTGCTGCCACTGCAGCTGTGAGACTGACACACCTCTGCTGACAGGTGCCCCTGAGCATCATCCCCAGGTGAGGGTGTCTGCAGTGCAAGATGTGGGCAGCCACCCTGCCCTGCTTCTCATGGAGGAGAGGCAGGATGAGACCTGCTCCTTCCAAACCCCTGCAGGCACGTGAGAGGTTCTGCCCACCTCCAGTCAGCTAATAAAGGCTTGGATGAAGAGTGCCTGGGGGCTGTTCTGTGGCCCCAAAGGCACAGCTCACACCCATGCCTTTCTCTACCCCACACCAGATGGGTTTGCCCATCTCACCACCGGTGCCATCCCTGGCCTGTGCCATCTCCCCAGCCTTGCCCTGGCACTGCCTGGAAATGTGCAGGTGGCCAGGCCATGGTGCTGCCAGGAACTGTTCCCTCCATCAGACAGTGAAGAGGATTGCAAGCCAGTGGGCAAAGCTGTGCCCTGACCAGGTTTATTTATTTACAGGTTGTAGTGGGTTTGATTTAAAGCCATCACACAGGTGCAAATTGGTCAGAGACTCTTTTCTGCAGCCCCTTCCTCCAGGCACAGCCTGTGAAGACACAGCACTCTGAGCACTCTGAGGCTGATGTGAGCCCAAATATACACCCTGGGTACATACACTGGTGGGTCTGCTCATGCTGGGCAACTGTCTCCTGGCACCTTTGGCAAATCTGCCCTGTGCTACTGCCTGTGAGCATTTCCCCCTGCACACTCACCATGACTAGGCCAGAAGAGATGTCACCCAAACCAAGCCAGGCAAAAGCATTCTAAGCAACATCTCACACATGCCTGTGTGTCTGGCACATCTGTCTGGCACCCTGATTTGCCACATAGGACAAGTGTCTTTGTATCTTGGAAGAGGAGCTGGCATTCTCCAAGAAGCCACAGGGACAGATGTCCATTGGTTTTGAAGATGTAAACATTTACTTTCCCCATAAGTAATAGGGATTTGTGTTTCAGAGGCAGCATTGCATGAGGATTTGCACATTAAACATGACAAACTTGGAGCTGTGTGAGAGACTTCGAATGGAAAAGCAGTTGTGCAGACTGAGCTGGGGGATGGAACTGGGCACAGCTGCAGGCTTAAGCAGACAATGAATCTTCCCTATGTGTGAGGACACCAGCACAGAGCAAAGAGATGGCTGTGGGGAGGATTCTGAGCAGTGAGAACCCACATCCAAAGGCTGATGGGGTCTGCGTTCACTCATACCCAAACAGTCTAAATCATCACGGAAATGCCAAATCTCTTGGAGCCACTGTCACACCCTCCTTTGGAGGAAACTGCCTGAGCACTTTGAAGCCATTCACACATCTCTCTCCAGCAACCCTTTACTTCTGAAGAGGGAGGCACAGTGATGTGTGCTGAGTGATATTAAGTATGTAACTGAAACCATACTCAGTTGAGTGAGTGAGGCTCACTGGTGAGCTGCTCATTTCTACCCTGTGTCATTTTTCTATCAATTATATTTCAGATATATTCTGTTTTCACACAGAGAACAGGGCTCCTTGCACTATATTCCCTTCTCAATTCCCCTTCTGGATTGAGCACAGACTTTTCAAAGGAATAACAGATTTGACAAATTTATAACCAATATCCCAGGAGAACTTTAGGGTTTGGAAACAAAATACTCATACTTGAAATTAGACAGCAGTTTAGTTTCCTGCTAATAATTTTCTTCTTGGATACAAAGGAACTTGTTTTGTTTTGTTTTGCTGTTTGGAGCAGAGGGATGAGACACTGTTTTGACATTTATTCATAAACAGTACAGAAGCCCAGCTCAGAGCTGCGGCCATTGCCAGTCCTCACAATCACATACGAGTGCTATCTCCAGAGCTGCAAACCCTGGCTGGGGGAGAAGCAGGAACACTGCAGTGGAAATGGGTCAGCAGGCAGCAGCTCAGCTCTGCTGACCCTTCTGGGGAGCTGCACCAGCCCTCCCAGCCACAAGCTGCTGCTTCAGCACCAGAGCTGACAGGCACTTCAGACTGACCCTATAAGAACCAGTTTCAAAGCAGCCATGCAGGCAGATTCCCTGCACACCAGATGAAACTCCACATCTGAAGCCTGGAAGATTGTTCCTTCAACTCATCCAAGGGCTTGGCCCAGCCATCAAGCCCTGTTGCAGAAAGCAAATTCCTGGACTAAGTAAATGCGATCAGCACATCGTGTAATCATGAAAAGCAAATTCCCAGATGAGACATAGATCATCATTGCACAGCATGAGCCTGTAAGTAACACAAATCCTGCTCCAATTGCTCTGCTACCCCACTGTCCCCCTTGCAGCAAGCTGCTGCTGCCTGGCAGGGAAACCCAAGGAGCTGAACACCCAGGCAAGCACACTGAGACCAGCCAAGCTCCAGGAATGGGACCTACAGGTTGCTGCTCATGTCTGGTGCTACAAACCCCTCTAGGATGCCAACAGTTGCTTCTGCAGAAGCCTCCAAGGTCAACACTGACACAGAGACCATGGCTGTGCTTGCAGGAAAACCTGGTGTGTTAAAGCCCACTGAGCTCTGCCTCAGAGCAGGGCTCCAAAGGGCCTTTACAGGTGATGGATTTACAAACCCCACAGCTGCACTTCAGCAAAGCAACTCCAGCACCCCATGAAGGGTCATGGTGAAGAATCACCTTGGGAACAAGACCTGTGGGCACTACACTCAAGCACACCTTGGAGCTGAGACCCTGGCTCCATGCTCAGGCCAGTGTCCTGCATGGGAAGTATAATCCAGCATGACAGCAAATCCAGTTTTTCTGAGAACAGAATGGTCTCACCATAGTTTGTTTTTTTTTCCTCCAGTGAATACTTGTCTCTGAAATGTGTCCTTTCTGTGGCAGGAGAGAGTCCTGCCTGCCCCACAAACCCTCTTGCTGTCAATTTTGGTGGTCACTGCTGTGCTTGTACGGTACCTCACCTTGGCACTGGTGTTTGCACTCCCACTGCAGAGAGCCTGCTGGGGAGCCTACCTCTGGCCACAGCATGCAAACTGGGGCAGGTGGAAATAAGAGGAAAAAAGATGTTTTTGGATTTTCCCTCAAATAAGAAAACCTCTCTCTCCATAGGGTGTTTGTAACACTCAGTGCTACAGCTCAGAGCTTCCTTTGCTCTTCTGAGATGCAGCATTTTTAGGACCAGGGGGAAAAACAGGCAACAGCACCTCTCTCAGCCTCAGCTGGGCCAGGATCTTGGATGTTCGTCCCCCTTTAACTGATATCTGCTCCTGGGGCTCCACCTGCATGCAGGACACAGTGGTGTGTCTATGGACACCCTTACAAAGCAGAGTGGGGTCTGGGGCATTTTGTGTTTACCATTGGACTAAGATGCTTCTCCCTTGTCTGGATGAACCAGTTTAGATTCAGGCCAGTGGGCATGAGGAGACAGTGATTGGGGTGAAAGGAAAAGGGTTTTCAGATACTCCCATACATCTGTCACACGTGGCTTTTGGCTCCTTGCTGTCCCTACCCAAGCCACCCCTGGAGCTGTCTGTCTTCCCAGCTGCCTCTGGAGACTCAGCAGTCCAGTTCAGGGCTCTGTTTCCAGCAATGTGTCAGGCCAGGCACGCAGGCAGTGGTATTTTTGTCCTGTGTCTCAGCTGCAGAGGTAAAGGTTATTACATCCACTCCTGTAATTGTTTGAGAGGCTCAAGAAAGAAGGGCAGAGCCTCCTTCACTTGTTTAAATTCAGCAGGGCAGAGGAGGTGGCTGTAGCACATCTGCCCCTTGACATCCAGAGAGCACATCAGCTCTGTTCCCAGCATCTGTGATCACTGCACTGAGTGTTGGAAAGTAGCAGGAATGGTGAATACCTACTGTTGCCAGGTAACAGCATCCACTGTGCCACCAGCCACTTTCATGAACCTGTGGGAAACAGAGGAAGAAAGCAGGTAAGGCCAGTGTGGTCACAGGGAAATCCTAAACAACCAGTGCTCATCCTACACCAAGAGATAACAAAGGTGGCCACTGTACTCACAAATACTTTCTAATGAAGCCTCTGTGTCCTTCAATAGAAGGAATAAATTCTGCTCAATCCAAGTGCTTGTAGCAAGCACAGCTCAGAACAATGAAGTGAGACCCAACTGGCAGCAGAGCTCTGGGCATCATTTCAGAACAGGTAAGGAGAGCTTTTGAAACACAACAGCATTTCAGGAACAAGATCTTGAGGTATGTATTAAGTTCTGTGACTTTAACAACCCTCAATAGCAATTAAAGAACATGTTTTAAATGTCCATCTTAAAAGGAGATCCTTCTTAGCCCCCAATATGTATTTAATCTGAGGAACTCTTTGCCTGGATTCAAGCAAGGACTGGGAAATGGAAGAAAACGGAAATAAAACCCAGCAAAGCTATTAGGTGCAAAAATGCCACCTCCTGCTCAGGAAGCTCCTGAGGAAGGGAGGAAAAGCTGGACTAACACTGCTAAGTGCTTTCCTTTTTTTGCCTCTTTCTTTGGCATTGGCTATTAGCAAACTGTGGGATTCTGACCTGGGTGCACTTCTGGTTTATTCCATTCCCACACCCAACCACAGCACTTCCATGGACAAGGTTAAAGTCAGTGATATATGGGTATTATTCTCCTGATGGCTTCTGCCCTGACTAAGAATATACCTGTTCCAGACAGCTCCTGTTTGAGTCAGACTTGAGGCTACACAGGTCCACCTGCTCACACTGCCAGCCCCCAAACCAAAGCAATTCCCAATCCTGGGCACCATGTGCAACCACCACAGGAGGAGATGGTAACTGCAGGGGTCTCTCCCTGCTTCCCCAGCCCAGCAATCCAAACAGCACCTTGGAAAACTGCAGCTCCCACGAGGAAGTTCTTATATTCTTATGTTTAGGAGCATGGATATGGAACCACAGCAAGGCACAGTCTGCCTGCACAGGCACGTTGTCTGTGCGGGAGCGCAACGTGCACTGCGTGGCTGATGCATTTGGGAAGTGATAATGCACACACATGACAGGAGACATGTGCATGAGCTCATGAATATGCTGAGAAAGGAAACGATGCTGTATTTTCTTGGGCTGCTTTAGATGCACAAGGATTCCAGGAACACAGCAGCAATGTCACAGCTGTCCCAGCTCCACGCAGGGGTGAGCGGTGCTGGGTCCAGTGACCCCAAGGAGAGCCCCATGACCGAGGGCAGGGAAGGGGAAGGTTTGAGAGGAGAGACCATCAGACTGTTTGTCATGGCAGGGATGAGCAGCAGCTTTCTGGCACACGAGCCTCTAATCAGGTCTGAAACAAGAGCAGCAAGCTTCAGGCTAAATATAGCTCGGAAATGATCATTCTGACTTTAAATTAATGACCATGGTCAATTATAGACTGGGACAAAAGGGCAGCTGGACCCTGTGGAGCATAAGAGGATGCTGGCAAAGGCAGCAATAATAAATCCCTGCAGACAGAGAGGGAAGAGATACAATTAGAAATGGAAAAACAATAACATGCTGTAAACTCCTATAGCACTGATGCATCCCCAATTCTGCTGCCCAGCAGTGCTGAGAGCTCAGCTCCCAGGCTCTGTAAAAGAAGCAAATGCCTTTCTGAAATGCTTTTACATCTCTCTTGAGGGTCAGGCCTGGAAGACAGGTGGCAATGGAATGGCTGGGGACAGTTCCTCCCCAGCTGAGCTGGGCCAGACCTAGTGCAGCCTTAGGGAGAGGTGTGAGCTCCCCACAACTCACACTGGTCATCTGGAAAAAAGAAAATTATGCAAACATAGCTGAGGAGGCATTGCTGTTGTATAAAACTAAGTGTGCAGAAATGTGCCAAAAGTGTCAAAATCCCCAGCTGCCAGGTTTTAAATTCTCTGTACAGGGGCTGATGCATAAAATGTAATGCACAAAGTCTATATGAGTAAACTAATGAGCTCTAAACTGAAAGTATGAGTACAATCTGTATTGGATTTGAAGATCAATATGTTGCAATTGGATTTGAAGATTAGCCCAACTTGTTTTCTAACCTCAAATGCTTTACATTCTGGCTGAAAGTAAACCAGCCTGGACTTTACTGAATCACCTCTTCAGGCTCAGTTTGGCACTCTCCCCTCACAGACCAAAACCGTGAGCAGACCAAGCTTAAAGGAAGAAACTCTCTGGTTTTTCCTGCCATTTTCATAGGGCCTATAGCCCTGTTGAAGACACACCTTGTACAGTGGTCTTTGAGCAGGGACTGAAAAGCAAAGCAAATCCTCATTATAACCTCCTGGAGCAGCAGAAACAGGCCATCCATATGCCCCATCTCCCACATCTCTAGGAAGCTACTTGGACTCCTGATAAAAAGTTCCCAAGAAACTGTTATAGGGCACAGGCATCACTCAGGCAGCACAGTGCAGACCAAAAACAGGACAGAAAGGCCCTGGCTTGCTTAGGGCTCCTCTTCTGCCTCTGTAATACCAAGATAAATCAGTTACTTCTGTTAATATCAAAATCTTATGATAAAACATACATATCTAGCTCGAATTTTCTTTTGCATGTTTGTTTTCCTTTCTTTCCGTTTTCTTCCTTTTTCCTTTTGTTGAGATTTTTTGCAAGATGAAGTTCCTGGTAACTGTTCAAGTCCTGCCTTCAGAGCTGGAGTTGTTCCTGGAACACCCCAGATATCTTGGGCAGTGGTCTCTACTCTCCAGAGGGAACCTAGAGCAGCCCAGCAGCCAGCAAGGGGTACTGCAGGAGCAAGAGATGAAAGCCTAGGGGACGTGGAGATGCAGTAATGCACAGGTATCCAAATCTCCTTGTTTTAGGAATAGGGATTTAACTAATCCCTTTATTCCTTTAGCACCTGTGCTGTTCCATCCACAGGTTTTGAGGCCAGGGAAGATCCATACAGTGAGAATGCCCAGCGGTGACACAATTCCTGTTGGGATTTCCTGGCTGTGTGATTTCCACAGTGCAGGCACGGTGAGCCAGACGTTTCCGCAGAGCTCAGACCCTGCACATGTGCTGCACAGATGGGCTGGGCTGGCACAGTAAATCTGCCATTCTCCTGCACACCAGGCTCTCTCTGGGAACACCAACTGACCCTGCAGCACATGTGCACTAAATCCCTCCCTAAGAGGAGCAGTGGGACAAGCTCAGCCCCAAATGCTGCAGCACTGCCCCATAGTTCAGAAGGGTGGCACCCCAGTGCCTGCCCCTGTAATACCCCTGGCTGGATTTCCATGTATCAGAAACCTGGGCCCATGTTAAAATCCTCAAGAAAAGTCTTTGAAATCTTCTGGGACAGCATTTCTAGTTGGGAAAGCAGAACACATCAGAGACATGTAGAGGAATTGGAATCTTGGGTAGGGAGTTCCTGATTGTGAGAATGAAACTAAGTCACTGAGCTTGATATGGACATCTACGTGACAGGGGGTAGGTCTGGATCAGGTATTAGAAGAAGAAGTTCTTCACTGTGAGGGTGATAAGGCACAGGAGCAGGCTGACCAAAGAAGCTGTGGATGCCCCATCTGTGGAAGTGTTCAAGGCCAGGCTGGATGGGGTCCTGGGTAACCTGGCCTGCTGAAAGGTGTCCCTGCCCATGGCAAGGCAGATGGAACTAGATGATCCCCAAGTTCCTTTTCAGTTCAACCCACCCCATTACTCTGTGATATATTCATTTTCTTACCCTTGCAGCTGGCTCTGTGCCAGCATCCCATGCCACCACTGCTATTGGTGGGGCCCTGCATTGAGCTAGAACTGAGAAAAATGTAATTCAGCATTGCTCAGTGGCTCAAACAGTTCACAGCTCTGTCCCACAAATGGTAGTACTAGCACAAGGTGGGGCTCACCTCACAGGACATGTGAGCTGTGGGGGCAAGGAGCAGGAGGGCTGCAACACCTCAAGATGGTACTGACACCCAAAGTCTGTACTGGCACACCATGGGTCAAATCTGACTTCTTCCAGAGCATCTCCCATAACCACATCTCCCAGGACCACAACTTTCACTTTAGTGTTGGCAGATACCTGCAACACATCTCCTGCTTTGATTCAATACTTGTCAGTCATGGAGCACCTACTGCAACCTCAAGTAAATTGCTCCCATGGTTAATTAGCCTCCAAGTGTGTTATTTCTCATGTGAATGTGTTTGCATTCAGCTGCCAGCCTTTGGAACTTCACAGGCTTATTCCTGATACATTAAAGAGACATCCACATTTGGAAATCTCTTTCCCATGCAGGTAATTGCATATTTTCATCCTTTAAATTATTAAAAGAAGAAGAAAAAAAAAAAAAGCAATGCTGTAACAAAGAATGCAGCTGCACAAGGAGAAAAGTTGTTATTGCTAAAGTGGTTTAGCATCTGAATGACCCCTGAGTGCTGGACTCTACAAACATGGGTTATTTCATCTGCTACTCCCTGAAGAACTACAAAACAGAGTCCCTACCCTGCACAAGCCCCAAATGTAGGAGCAGGACTGGCCTGCCTGTGGTTGTGGTGGTGCCCTGGTGGACCCCTAGAGCAGGGTGGCAGATCTCTGCCCTTTGAGCCAACAGTAATGGGTAAAAACCCTTCACCTTATGTCTCAGCTGGCTGTGAGGGTCACTAAGGCCCAGGCTTCACTTACTGACCTCTTCAGGTCCCAGCAGAACAGCTGAATACCTGCAGCAGAAAGAGGTACTAGACCCCACTAAAGCTACATGCTGCAAAGCCTTTGTCCTGCAGTGGATATTCATGAATTTCATTCTGGGGAGCAGAGGCTGGTGTGAACTAGGTATAAATCTGGTGATATGTTGTATTGTCTGTCTGCTCAGCATCACCTTCCTTCAGCCAGCCTGATCTATGGTAGGGCTGCACAAGCCTCCCAGCAAAGAGGGCTCTTTGTCCTTGGAGGGAGCTCAAGGAGTTAGGAGACAGGGACTCAGCTCCCTCTAGCCTCCACAGCAC